AAAAAATAAAAATATTGATCAGGGCTATCACAGAATCCATCGTAGCTTCGATTTTCGTGAAATCTACGAAAGTGCTATCACAGAATCCGAATGGCTACGAACGTAAATTCGAAATTCGTAGAGAGCCTTCATTGAATCCGTTCGTAATGAAGATTCGTACAGATACTCTACGACGAGATTATGCCGTCGGAACAAAATTTAAAATCACTCAATCTTAAAAATAGTGGAAGAAAGCTGCATTATTTTTAATATTAAATATTTATTATACTCCAAATTTGTTATAGTTTGCTATAATTCCGTATATTTGTGTAAACGTAGACGTAAAATACTAATGCTATACATACATGCATTCATCTGCTAGACGCTATTTAATGATTTAATATTTTGCATGAATCGAGGAAATAATAGTTTAGCAACAATTTATTAGGAAATAAACCTAATTACTTTAATATCATAAAAATTTATTAAAAAAAAAAAATTCTATTTAAAATAATAAAATCTAAGCTAAAAATAAACTAAAAAAAAAAATATTTATTAAAAAAATTAACAAAAGTTAATTTAAAAAATAAAAAAAATCTCCACTGGCCCACGACTCGGACTCGAACTCGGCTCTCTCAATTGGCAGTCCAGTTCTTTGCACACTCGGCCATTACGCCTGATTGGGGAGCGTGAGCAAAATGACATACATAAATGTCTGTTGTTTCCTTTGCACAAACACCTGATTTACATGATTCAAGTACTTGAAAGCAATTCTTGCTCATTCTCTTTTGTGTTTTTTATTTGCTTTTACACGTTTCAATTCTGTTGAATTCAAGTCTTTGGTTCTTTAAATGGGAAGCTACGAAAATGCCAAAAGCAAAGCAAGAAAGTTGAAACGACTTGACGGTACAGACGCATGTGTACTCGTCCCTTTTCTTCTTACCCCCTCTCTTCCACATGCGAGCAGAATTGAATTCAATACTTGAACTGTGTAAAAGCACTCTTGAATTCGTAGATTTTCTACGAGGGATTCCGTGATAGCCCTGGATATCTCTCGGTCCCTGCATTTTGTCTATCTTTTTCTATGTATGTATATATTAATTTTTTATTAAATTTCTCCTTTTCCTTATCTTTATCTCTTAAAGTTATCTGTGTCTTTCTTTTTAAACTTGTCTTTAACTTCAGCCTTATCCCTTTCCCTATCCCTATCCTTATTCTTAACCCCATTCTTAACGTTATCCCTTTTAATATCCGTGTACATAGCCTTATGATTATCCTTATTCTAATCCTCAACCTTATCCTTTTCATAATCCTTATCCGTACCCTTATCCTCATCCTTATCCTTACCCTTATCCTTGTTATATTACTGATGACTGCCAATTATTAACATAACTATTAACATAACATCGTTTGAGCGCCGCTGAAAGAGAGAATGACTCGATGCCCTCTATTGGGGTTCATGTTGTTGCAGCCCTCTGACCTCTTTCGTAAAATAAAAATATTTGTCGAGGACTTAGTACGAGAGAGGGTTAGGTTTGTTCGAATTATTAGAGACGATAGAGGATAAGGAAGCCACAAGCGGATTAGTCCACTCCCAGAAAAGGTTTTGGGTGGCTTCACCATAGCACCTAACCTAGCAAACGCAGCAAAAATCAGCCTTATCGCCAACTCCATTTTTTTTTGTTTTGCTTTATAAATTTTGGTAACAGATACATATTTGTTTATTCTCAATGCCATTCCAAATTTGAAGAAACGGAACGAGTGGAAAGAAATCATAATAATTATCGAATTTTTTATAAGAACTTTATTTAGTTTTTCGCATATAATTTCGAAACGTTCAATCTTTTTTGTGAAGTCAACTACATATGTATGTACGTGATAATTGCAAACATATTTCTAATGCCAGGAAATTTAAAAATTACAAATTTTCAATAAAAATTACTTGTACCTAAACAACTGGAAGCGTGTATTGCGACAAACATAAATAGATGATAACGTATAGAAGTCCTGCATTATTCAATTTATGCGAAAGTAACTTACAATTTAGTTGTTAATAAATATATTGTAGGTCGATGAAAAATATTATTGGCAAATAATCGAGGGTTTAAATAATACATACAAATGTTAATAATATAACTAAAATAATTTGTCAGAAGATAAAAACATATGTGATTGCGAGTGTGTATTTTTGTTTATAGTGAATATGTAAATTTACGTGTGCACCATTCGTTGTGCACACAACAATGAATTTCTAGGATGTCATATATGTTGTATGTATGTAGGCTAGTTATTAATCGTACGAAAAATGGCAACATTAATTTGGCACTGGTTCATTCAATGGTTGTTGCTGTTGCAGCTCGCCCTCTTGTTGAGATTCGATAGTCAACGCATTGTCAGTGCCATTTATTGTCAACTCAGCTACTGTCGCGACAGCGGCTTCTGTTACATCGGCAATGGTTAATTCTGCCACCTTTGCGGCAATCTCCGCCGGCACAGTTGTTTCTGGCCAATTTACTGCATCCAACTGATCCGTGTTGCCTTCTTTTGGAGCTGTTGTTGTATTAACTTCATCAACCAAAACTATTGCTGCTTCGTCATGCACATCTTCATTAGTTGATGGCGATACAGTATTTGTCAAATCAACACTAAGTGTTTCGACTTGTGGCGGCAGTTCAATGGGCTCTTTCTCAGTTTGTTCTACACTTGCGGTCGTATTTGTGTTGTCATTTGGCGACTCGCTACCAAGACCAGGCGACGACTCCTTACCATTCTTATTGCTTTTCGATTTTTGTTTTTTACGCTGACGTTTCTTAGCCGAGTCCTCCGACTGTTGCTGCTTAGCAGACGTTTGTCCACCAACTTTGCCAGTAGAATCGGTGCTAACGCCCGTAGCGACATTTAAATACTTCATTTGACTTTGAAGATTCGCAAGAGTCTGTTTCAATTCAGCACAATTGCGCGACATAATCTCCATTTTATCTTTGTCCGATGGGCCTCCACTGTTGGTTGCGATCGGCGCTGTTCGAATTGGCTCAGGCTCTGGTGGTAGAGGCGGCATGGCGGGGCATTCGACATTATTTTCTCGCAACACCTTATAGAGGTGCGAACGTTCGTTTTGTAGGGCGCGTAACAATTTCTGCAGCTGTTCTACTTGTTTGCTGCAACGTGCTGCGTGTTCATCGCGTTCTTTTTTCTCTGTAGCCAATTCAATGAGTATGGCATTGCTCTTTTCCCATTTAGTTTTCCACTCAAGTGTTTCTTTTTCCAACTTGCGAGTATTCTTTGCCATCTGGGTAGGAAAAAGTTAAGTTAGATTAGGGAAAAGTATAATTTTTAAGATAAATAAATTACTTTCTCCAATTCAACTTTGTATGTTGCGAATATGTCATTGGATTTTTGCAGTGAATTCTGAAAATCGTCATATTTAGCTGTATACAGAGTTAGTTGCTCTTTAAGCGCCGCCTCTCGCTCTGTTAATTCTCTGAGCAACTTTTGCGAATGCACAAACTTTTCGAGTGCTATTTGTTTTTCCCTAAAAACAAAAAATAAATAAAAGTGTCAAGTCGATACATACTTTTGTTTTGTAATATGTTAAATGTATCCTCACTTTAACAAAATTTCCTTCTCCATAGCAGCCTCAACTTGCACCTTATTCAGCTTGGCTTGATGCAATTGTGACTCCAACTGCACCTGCTCGTTTAGCTTTTCCAGCTGTTGCTCGCGCATATGATATTGCTCTGCTAGCATTTTCAATCTGTACGATAGTTGATTATCAAAATAATTTAGTTAACTTTCATAGTTTATTTCTGCTTACTTTTTGGTCATTTCCAAGTTATGATCCCGCAACTTCAAATTTTCATCATTATTTTTAGTTAAAGACTGCGTGATCTCGTTAAGTGATGATTGGAATTTTGATTGACTTTCCTTTCGCCGCTCCTCTTCTTCCCGTATTTTTTGTATACTTTCATTTTTCACAGATTTGATTAGTTTCTGCTGTTCGCGACAGACTTCCTGCAATTTGTCTCTAAAGAAAAAAAAGATGATAAATTTAAGAAAAGTAACGAACGCGATACCTTACCGCATCAGAACACTTTTATTGTATTCGCGCTGCAAGTTTTCCTTCTCTCGTAAGACAGTCTCCAACTGCTTTTCCTGCACCTTCATTTCCTGTCGCAGTTTTCTAGCGCCACGTTCACTTTCTACATGCTTACGCAGTAGCAGTGCAAATTTCTCTTCCGGAGTAGCTCCTGCCGCTTCTTCTTCCAGCATTTTCATTATCTATGATTAAAAACGGAAGCGCCACACATCACATAAGATTGCAAATTTTCAGTACAAATCACCTTGGCCCCGTTAGCCGGTATGGCCCCGGCACAATCATCATGTACATAGATATCTAGCCCGATCATCCGGTGACTTACCTGCTCTTCGATTTTCTGATCCTTTTGTTTTTCATCTTTGGCTTCTTTCTTACTTTTTGCTGTGGTCTTTTCCATTGTGAAAGAGTGAGAATTTTTCTTGATTTTCACACACGGCACGTTTTGTTTAGTAGAATATTTTTAAATTGTAATTGGTGATTTCCTTATTAGGATGAAAAACTCAGAATTGTCAACATGAAGGAAATTAATTGGTCCCTAACCGATTCCGGTAGTGCTTTTAGTCCCTAACCTCCCTAACCGCATGTAAACGATTTGTTTACATTAAAAAGTGCTGCCCAGTTAATTTTAAGGAATTCAAATACCAATTAGAAATGAAACAAGTTTTTCTCTTTCGAATGGTGCGAATACCCAAAGCATGCTTGTTTTCTTATACAAATAAATAAAACAATTAAAAAACAGACAGATTATCATTTTTCTCACAAGTGTGATTCCAATTAGCAAATTTCATAGATAAATTTGGCAGCACTACAAAATCGAACTTATCTTATTAGATCCACAAACGAGTCTCGAAACCCGTACATTTACCTTCCACTCAATCAATAGGAGTTTTTTTCATGTGACTGCGTTGTCACTTGTCACATATCGAACGTCACTTGGATTTTTCTTCTTGTCTTGTGTGGAACGAAGTTATAAAAGTTTTTGCAGCGTAGTTAAAGTGACTATAAAAGTTGCCTTAATTAATTAAAAGTGAAAATGACTAGCCAAACGCAGGGTATCCAACAGCTGCTCGCCGCTGAAAAGAAGGCTGCCGAGAAGGTAGCAGAGGCCAGAAAACGTAAGTAAAATAGTGAAAAAACAACAGTTTTCATACTTGCCAACTCCCTTTGCACCCCCTTTACAAGCAATCAAAGGGGTCATGTGATAAGCAAAAATTCAGTGGAGTAGTAACTAACCACTTTGTAAATGGTGAATCGCTTTCGTCTTACACAATTTTTACGACTTTTTAGGCAAGGCAAGAAGATTGAAACAAGCCAAGGATGAGGCAACCGAAGAAATTGAGAAATACCGCCAAGAACGTGAACGTCAGTTCAAAGAATTCGAGGCCAAGGTAAGAGACTTAAGCAGGGCCAATGGAACTGGAAATTGATTTAATCTTTGTAGCCCCAGTGACATGCAAGAAATCTTGTAATAATTTTTTTTTGTCTTCTATTTGCAGCATATGGGCTCACGCGAAGGTGTGGCCGCTAAGATCGATGCTGATACCCGTACGAAATTAGCTGACATGGAACGTTCGATTGCCTCACGCAAAGAACCTGTAATCGAAGAAGTCCTTCAATTCGTCTACAACATCAAGCCTGAGTTGCACAAAAACTACGTTCTGAAATAAATTATCACATCCATGGGTGAAGGGATAAATGCCAGCTTTCATGCATTTCTATTATTCGTCGTATTACTTGTAAAGTTTATTAATTAACTAACCAATCAAAAAACTAGGTAACTAAGCAGCAAATTCCCGATATTCGTGTACGTTCCATTTAATTGCATTATTGTAATGGTGCAATTACGCCTTTACTTAAGAAAAATTCCAGATTTTCAACGTGTCGACGATGCGTTGAAGGTCGCTACTTAATTTACAAAATACAAAAGTGGGCGCAAATGCACTAAATGATTTTAAGCTAAACGTTTTAAAGTATTATGCCGAAAAGTATGAAGAAAAATGTACGCTAGCATTGTTATCATAAAGTATAACTAATATATATTTTGTGTTCTTGTTGTTATGCAATAGTTGATGAAAAAAGTGTGGATATTTAAGCAATAAAGGTTCATTCATTTTTCGTTTTATGCCTCAAACTATCTGGTTTTTCATTTTGTGTTTGCAAAATAAAAAAAAGAGGTGCGCTCACATGAGCAATCAGCTGATAGTCACTTTTCGAGTCTAATTGGATCGAGCCATGTGACCTATTTGAGTTAAAGTTAAGTTTGGTCGGTTCTTATTGCAATAGCGTTTACATTGCATCATAAATGATTAGGTTAGTTAGCGTTTTGATATGGATAAGATTATTGTAACTTTATTATATCATTTATATACGGTGTCGCCGCAGTCGAGTTGTTACAGTTGAAGAAGTTGTTTTGCTAATAATTGCTCCTGTTTGATGTGACAAAACTCTAGATGCTCTTCAGCCATGAGAAAGCTTATTACGTTACAGTTACATCCTATGCCATTTTACAATTTTAATATTTAGTAATTAAAAGCATTCTTCCTATCAACTTTAGATAAAATACTGGGGCACAAAGCAAGCACAGTATTGTTTGTATCCATGTGCAAGCAATGATCTGGAAATTGCGACAATAACGGTTGTTTAGTAACCACAGTTTTATAATAATAATAATAGTTTTATAAAGTTTAGTAACCACAGTTCACAATATCAAATTTTTTCATTAACAAATCTGTCATAGAAAATAAGTTGTATTGAATAATGCAATAGTTTTAAAAGAAATTTTCTGCAGATGTGTATGTACATAAATATTTACATATTTATTTTTAACCGACTACACAAAAAGGAGAAGGTTATCAGTTCGTCGGAATATTTTTTTTTGTTATGTATGTATGTTTAAAGGACCTCACAGGTGGTCCAATACTAAATCCGATCATCAGATCATGAAGAAATTAACGACAGTCTTAAATTGCACGTATTTTGATTTATTAGAATTATATTTTACCATTTGGCCGAATATTATCGTGGTATGGAAATCATGATCCATGCTAGTTGAATTGAATACAATTTATAGGTAGGAATTATGTATGTATGCACCGTATTTTTCAGCTGTGATTATTACATTTTACTCTCACAAGGAGTATCAATTACCATCTTCAAAACTACCGAAATGCGTGTGAAGACCCCACCCTCCAACTTTTGGTTTGAGTGGAGGCCCCTTATAATCTGGGTACCCACCCATGAACCAAATATGTCATGGTACCCACCAAATGAATTCGTTTTGGTACCTATCTTAAGACACTGGCAGCACTTCGTAACAGATGATTCACTGACGTATATGTAGCAACAAATTATTTGACATTCCCGTTTTTGTAATGTTTGTTTTCCTTTTTGTACTAACGAATTGATAATTTCCTTGCTTTTGAACAACAAAATCAGTGGAATAACAAAACAATTATAACGACAATACTATATACTTATTTGTAAACGAAAATTATCAAAAGTGCCCAGCCATGAAGGCGGGTACATTTCGAAATACACAATGGGATCCCATGCTACTCGTCGCCCAAATCATATCCATGCAATCATGCGTATACTTCTCCTTGGGTCTTCTGGTCTTCTTCGCTAACATATTAGCTGGCGATAATTACACACTGGATAATGTATTTGAGTATCATGTAAGTGTGGCAAATACGAATCCAAATCATAATTTCTATTCTAATGGCGATTTCTGAAATAGGAAATACACATTTCCGACGCTGGTGGACGACTTATTATACTCGCATTTGTGCTAAATTCATTTGTTGCCTCATTGGCGTTGTGGTTTATTGTACGCCGCGCAAAATTATGTTTAGATTTTAGGTGAGTATTAAAGAGCTGAGTTAAATATTTGCCCGTGTACTTTTCTGTTTAAATGAACACAAAATTTCTTTACAGCTGCACATTCCACATCCTTCATTTACTAATCTGTTGGTGGTATAACTCAAATTTTCCGTCGAATGTTAGTTGGTGGTTGCTAAATGCAATCACAACGACTATAATGTGTATCGGCGGCGAATTTTTGTGTCTCAAGTCGGAATTAAAAGAGATCCCGGTTGGTTATGCGGCACTCAATCAGAAATCGGATGTTTAACATTTTTTTGGGATGAAGAATTTAGAATGCGCACTTCGTCTGTAGCAGGGACTGTCGCAGCTATTACAGAATATTCAAAAGTGATCTTTTATGTTTATACAACATGTACGTCTATAGAAATTGTATTTATTTAGATTATAATAAAAATGCGTCATCAAAATAAAGCCGTTTTGCAATAACATAACTGCACACCTGCATGGTTTTTACATACATACACACATACACATTAACTTTTGTGCCACATAACCAATTTAAATTCCCTGTCAATAACGATTGTTTGGTCTTCTTGCCTTTGGTTCCTCTAGAAAAAGGTTCGGTTAGAGTAAAAGTAAAGCATTTACTGGAGAAGAAAAGAATTTTCTTCAAGTATGTACTTCAAACCCCCTTTAATCGAATACACAAAGTAAAACAAAACTCAATTCGAGTCGCCAGATGTTAAGTAAAAGTTGTTAGTTTCTTTTGCACATAGGGGAATTTCCAATCCAAATTAGCGTCTCGCTGAACAGAAAAGGGTGGAAATAAAACAAGGATGTATTTTTAATATCCTTAGTTTTGTAAACCTTCACCATCCTTCGTGTTTGTTCTTCGTAGGTACTCCCGTGTAATCAAGCCGTTCGAACTTTGTATGTTCTATTTGTGCTGCCGAAAAAGGAGGCCTATTGCAAATTTTGTAATTATAATACCATACAAATTCCTCCATACTCTTTGCAGAATGTGCTGTCCTTGGCCAGGCGATATCGAATTTGTGTGAACGTCCTCTGGAAGTCGCATATTCAGGTCAGCGGAAAAGATAAATTGTTTCCCACCCGGTTCATCCTTTAATATCACAACATCTGTCTTTGACTTCTCTAAAGAATATGTAAATGTAAGCTTTGATTGTTAAAAATTGCAAAACTACAATCAAAGCACCAACAGCCCATCCATACCCAGTAAAACATTTGCTTTTTCATTTGCTAAAAAGTACATTTATTTAGCAAACTTGTTTAATATATATTTTTTATTGTATCTTGTTGTAGGTTTCGTGGTAATTTACTATTTGAAATTGCTGTTGCTGATGATTCTCGTGTTTTATTTTACTTATATCCGCTGTGTACTCATTTTAATTACACATTTTTTTGTAGTAAGCATGTTTTGAGTTGCTTTAAATAAGATCTAATTTTTTTTTGTTTACCTTTTTCAACACCTCGTCATTAGCTTTCTTTCATATATGCTTTCGAATGCAATTACATTACATTATTACATTTATAATTAATTAATAATAAAAATGAAATTCAAATATGTAAATTGTATTTGTATTTTCTTTTGTTTTGCATTTCCTTCTTTTATTTTTAATAATCATAACATTTGAGGGAGTGCTTTCGAATGTATTTTATCAATGCAATTTAGATAAAAGAATAACTGGTCGCATCTTCAACCACACCATATTTAATACAATTTCAAGACTTTAGCTGGATTTTAAAATTTTGCGCTGCTTGCGCCTGCACTGTTTCCACTGTAATCATTCCTACACACATTTCAACACTTTCTTTTCATTGTTTTAATCATGTATATTTTTCATATAATTTAAAATTGTTTATTTTAATTTGTTGCAGTTGTTTATTTTATTTTTCGATAAGTAAGAGACATTCATTAATGTAATTTTCGACATATCGTGTTATTCCTTTTTCATATTATACATACTTATAAAAGAAAGTATTTAGGAGCGAGTTTGAAAAATTGCATTAGTTTGCATTTGTCTGGTTGGGTTGCAGCGTGTGTGTATGTATACGGTGTGTAATCTGTTTGGACGTAAATTTTTTTTTTGGTGTGGAGAGTGATTTTTTTTTTTTTGCATTGGTATGTTAATGTGTAATATGATTTGTTTGAATGTTTGCTTGTTTTATAAAATTAATAATCTATACATAAATAATAGTAATATATAATTTTTATATATTCAAAGAGTTCTTTCATTCACTTCTGCTTTGCTTCGATTTTTGTTTGTTTGTTTCTTTTCGTATATACTATAATGTCTTATGCATTGTTGTTAAATACATAATCTTCGCCTTGCACTCTCTCAAAAATCTTCGTGTTTGTTGCTGATTTTATCTTTTTTTACTTTTTATTTAATCAATTTTATTTATTTGATTTTTCGCTTTCAGCGGATATTCGCAATTAGTTCACTTTATGCATTTAACTTCCCCACCAATCAGGACCGGAGTTGGAGTTGGCATGGGATGATGAGTAACTGCCACCATAGGAGCCACCGCCAGCGCCACCACCTCCGCCGCCACCACCACCACCACCATAGTAACCGCCACCGGAACTGCCACCTGAAAGAGAAAAATTAAAATAATTTTACGAACGATTTCATAAAACAAAAATCTACATTACATTTTATCACTACTTCTTTGCTTTAAAGATCTGATCATAAATGTAGTATGATATAAAAATCGGAGTATACATCTCCTTTTTTCCTTAATCTTGCTACAATTTACTCACCGTTGCTGCGATACGATCCACCGCCGCCACCGCCACCTCTTGGGGGCCCACCACTGCTACGTGGGGCGCCTCCACCGCCGCCGCCACCACCGCCAGACGTTTGACGGTAATCACGTGATCCGAAGCCGCCACCATAGCGTGCACCGCCGGGACCGCCTCCTCCTCGTCTCCTATTTCCACCGTGTGAGCGATCTGATGAGGTCATCTCTTCGAGAAAGCCGGGAACTTCCTGCTTTGTCTCGACGAGCAACTCCAGCAAATCTCCACAAATATTGCGATTCTTGTCGTTGAAAAATGATGTGGCAACGCCGAGGTTACCCATACGGCCCGTACGACCAATACGATGTACGTACTCCTCCACATCCGACGGCAGATCGAAGTTAATAACGTGCTTGACGTGTGGAATGTCCAAACCACGTGCCGCCACAGCAGTGGCAACCAAAATGGGACAATCGCCAGACCGGAAGCAGCGTAAAGCTTCCTCACGTTCCTTTTGTGTGCGATCACCATGAATGCTTGTCACGGGATGATTGCACTGGTAGAGAAACTCCTCCAATGCGTCGGCGCCCTTCTTCGTCTCTACAAAGATCAATGTCAAGCTATCCTTAGAGTATTCAGCTCCGGCGCGTATCGACGATAGTAGATCAAGCAAATATGAACGCTTGTCTTGGTCGTAAACCCACAATATAGTTTGGGTTATATTCTCTGAAGTGGAACCCACACGTCCTACAGCCAAGAATATATAATTGCTAAGAAAATCAGATGCCAGCTCTTGTATTTGTTTGGGGAAAGTAGCTGAGAACATCAAGGTTTGCCTCTGACCAGTTGGTGGCATATTCGATTGTTCGACAATGCGTCGAATTTGTGGTTCGAAACCCATGTCCAACATACGATCAGCCTCATCTAAAACCAAAAATCGTATGTTATCTAAGCCCACCTTGCCGCGTGTAATCATATCCTCCAGACGACCCGGCGTAGCCACAATCAGATGGCAGCCGCGATCTAATTCGCGCATTTGCTCGCTTGTATTATTACCGCCGTAGAGTACAGCGGGACGCATGCGTGAGCGATATGCGAACTTCTTGGCCTCCTCGAAAATCTGTGTGGCTAGCTCGCGCGTCGGTGCCAGCACTAAGCCGAGCGGATACTGCTTGCGGCGACTGTACTGGCGATTATTTTGCGGTGGTGGCGTCATGCCGTGCTCATACATCTGATTGAGAATGGGCAGCAGGAAGGCTGCAGTCTTGCCCGAACCAGTCTGTGCGCAGGCCATTAAATCGCGCCCATTTATTATAATTGGGATCGCGTGTTTCTGCACCGGTGTCGGTTTATCATATCTAGCCAAAGTCACATTATTGCGTATGATCTCGGTCAGCTGCACGTCCTCAAACGATGTGATGTTAGTCGGTACATTCTGGCCCGTCGCCTCCACGGGTATATCCTCGTATTTGTCAAAGTTAATGCCGGTGTTGCCGACACCGAATAACTCCTGTTCCTGGCGTTCGTCACGTGCTCCCAGTTTAGTGTAGTCGACGTCACCTCGGCGATCCTCCTTCCAGCGACCGCCATAGTTGCGTTCTCCGCCGCCGCCGCTGCCGGTGCCGGTGCCATTGCCGTTGCCGCCGCTACTACCACCGCCGCGTTCATTGCGCTGCTGTACGCCGTCCTCGGATGGACGCTCTGGCTCCTGCCAACGATCGTTGCGTGGTTGTTGTGGCTGGGCTGGATCGTCGAGTGCTTCACTGTTGCGATTGCTACCACTTCCGCTACCGGCCCCTCCGCCCTGACCGCGTCCACCACGGTAACCTCCGTTTTCACGTCTATCAAATGTTCGTGAATTTTGTGGCCCACGTCCCCCACGATTCCAATCGTCCCCACCACGTCGATTTTCGCCTTCTCCTATAAATGGAAATTTTAAGTGTTTCAGATTACAAATACAATATTTTTCACAAACATCAAAACTCTTGTATGTATGTACATATATTGCATTGAATTTATCATTTTACAGCAACATACCGTCGAAACCGCTGTTTTCGTCGTATCTGCCACCACCACCACGGCGTCCACCGCCTCCGTAACCACCACCGGAATTGTTATAACCACGACTACCGCCGCCTTTGCGATACTCTCCACCGCCTCCGCCGCGCTGTTCTCTGCCTTCGTACTTTGACGATGGAGTTCTCTCCTCGCGGTTATCACTATTAGCGTCAGGTGCGCTATTGCCACCTTCACGTAGATGTGGAGGAATATAAACGCCGGAATTGGATGAACTCTTCGTTGTTATGGGGCTGCTATTATTAGCTGTGCCGCCATTCAAGTCCAGACCAGCAATCTGAAAATGTTACATAATTTTTAATTAAGAATTAATTAAGAATTTTCGGGAAAAAATAAGAATATGCAAAATAGTAGTGCGGGTTGTTTGCTATGGCAACTAATTGGAGTATTTCCTATAAGTACCAATATCAACTTACTAACTCTCCAACCATTTTTATCAAAGCTTTCCATTATGAGAACTTCGAATTGAAGAAATCAGATTTTTGACAAATAAAAAACTTTACTTCCGACTTGTTTTCACAAAGGAAAATATTCAAAAGTAACTGCAGCCCAAGGTGAAATCATTAATTATAAATTCACCATGCCTGAAGCCTTTACAGTTCCCACTAATTAGTATATGGAGCAGTTGATGAAAACTCGGGGGGAAGAGCGTTAAAAAATAATAATAATGCAAACCGAGAAAAATAAATTGAAACCAAAACTGATTCCTCCGACATAGGAACTGAAAACGCAACAGCTGGTGGTTAGGGATGGGATGAGGTGGTTGACTAGGTTTTACAGGGTCCATATGGTAACATGAAATTGTAAAAAGTAACAAAACTATTTTTTTTTTATCTTAGCTTTCGTAATAGGGAAACATCATAAATTATTGCATTAGCGAACACCATACGTAGCGAATATTTACTGCATCTAAATAGACCAATCAAACCAATCAACTGTTTTAAAAAAATGTTCATGTTTTTATTATCGAGTGCCGTTTTGTAAATTTTTTCTTTCACTCTCGCCATAGCTGGAGCTGTTAAAACAATTCCGTCGACGTCTGATGCTCGTAAAACGATCTTAATGTTTGGAAAACTGCAAAAGTGCATCTCAATATCGCAACTGAATCAGCACCAACTTGCAAAATAAAACAATAATTAAGAGAAACGAATACAAAGAGCTAAATCAATGACCCCGTGAATCTGTGAGTATTAGGAACAAGGTTCTCAGCTGCACGGTCAAGTGATGCACAATTGTGTAAGTATCCATGCATACTAGCGATGTTTCGAATGTCATATTTTTCACAATCGCGAATGCGAATTTTCGGAATGGGAATGTGCGAATGTTAGGAATAACACTAAAAAGGGTATAATCAACTCAAAGTCATCGTTTTTTTTTATTTTTAAAAGTTTGTAAATTATTAGAACGTTGAAGGAGTACTTAACCTATACAATTGTTTTAATCTGGTAGTCAAGTTCAAAAGGGACATATTATATAAAAAAAAGGAAGTAATTTTGCTGCCTTTTCTCCCATGATGTGATTTCTTAGAGACTCGTTTATAAACGAGAGGATTTTCACAGAGATAAGCTCTTTTTCTTTAAGATAGGCCGTCAATTCAGCTTTAATTTCACATTTTTTAATGTCTCCAGATTCTACATCCGATCCTTCGCTTTCGCTGGAGGAATTTAAAATTATTTCTAGGTTGCTTATAAGACTTTCAGCAGCACTTGTTGAAGGCCCATCAATTTGCTTGATATATGTACTACACCGTTTAGCGCCTGAAGCTAAAAGCCGGTTATTGTCCGCACCCTGGTTAGACAGACTTAGAGCCATTTCAATAATATTAGAGTGGACTCTCTGCCCACGTACACATTCGCATTCGCAAAGCATGCGTATCATTTGTTGCGAATGCGAATGTGTAAAATGATGCGAATCATTCGCGTAACGAATGCGAATGCAAATAGTCGCAACATCCCTGATACATACATACAGTGGTGGAAAAATAAATAGGGACGCAACATTTAAAAAAAATTTGCTTATTTTTTTATATTTAATGCGTCGATCAAGATCTATTTTTATATGGAACAAAATGTGCAACACCTCAAAACAAAAATTATAACAAAGCAACGGTAATTTCTAGCGACTTAAAACTTGCACTAGAAATTCCGAATAAAAATTTTGAAATGTTGATGAATATTGTTTGCATTTTTTTGAACTTTATATAATGTGTGAAACTTTGATTTATATGGTTTATGTTATCGAATGAACTATATTTTCATAAATAATTAATGGAAAAAAAATTTTCATGAAAATAATTGTGAATATGTATTATATTAGAACAGCCCTGGGCAGCGTCCGCATACATAAACACTTTGCTTGAGAAGGCAGCAAAAGCTTTATTCAACTGCACGACTTGTTCTCACTCATTTGACGCGAAGTGAAAAAAGGTCGGTTTTCTTTATACAGCACGTTTTAAATTTGAATTATCATTATAACAAACTTGAATTCTCGTTCGCTTTTATTTGCCTCAACCGCGCAAATTATTTATTTAAGAAATATGGAATAAAAATAACAAATTTTGTTTACTTTTGAATACGGTTTCAGCAAGTGCGCTATAACGACACAGGTATAACCCAGCTAGCACATTTGCCAGACAATTTCTGATATCAGACAAGTCGGAACAAAAAGTTGACTATTTAGACAAGTCTTACAAGTTTCGTACAGATTTCTGGGCGAAATGTCTGGAGAATTTTATTTATTTCCTTATCCGGTGTGTCTGATCGAATTATGTCCGATTTCGGGCATACACGTCTGATGATTCTTATTTTCCATGATTATTTGGTCAGACATCTGTTAGATATCCGTCCGAATCGTCGGTAATTAAGTCAGAATTTCCCACGTCGTGTCGGTTAGACTTCCTGTCAACCTCTCCATACGCTTCTCTGACCGAGCATACAGATTTCTGATTTTTTTTGCCGACGAATATCTAACAGATTTCTGACAATTTTGATAGCTGGGTAAATGCTTGAAAGAGATATGTGTTGAGTAAAATCCGATTTTTTTAATGCGGTTCTTGTGTAGGTATAAAGAGATTGGCGCTTACAAAATATTTTAGTGTTGGGCCAAGCTTTTTGTTTATTTTTCGATGTTGATGTTGCTTATGAAAAAAAATAATAGATATGTATTAAATAAACAATAGGCAAAATGTGTTAAAATTTCGCGTCCTTATTTATTTTTTCTCCACTGTATGTATATGCATCTGCGAAAATGCTTTAAGCAAACGGAAAAGAAAGCTGCATGTACAAAGGAGGTGAAGTATTAAAAAATTGATAAAAAATCGCGCTCGTGTATATACACAAATATGTATTTATATTCATAGCTATAAAGGCGAATTCATATGTATGTATTAGGTGGTGTTGTTTCATCAGCTGTGAGTATTTGAGTTTGATTGTCAAATAATTTGTATTTCGCTTGAGAGTGAGTGAAAACGTGAGTATTTGTACTTTCTGTCGCCCTTTTTCATACGGGGAAGAATATCTGAAA